ACATTAGGAATTTTGGCCTTTGGCCAAGTTCACTGGCCCCAGTTCACCACAGGCTCCACCAAGACCCGTTGGCTCACACCCTGGTCTCTCCGGTCATGCACGTTCCTTGCCTGGCCTCTGGAGAAGGTGACAACCTTTGTGTCCTTTTTATGTCCTCTTGCCTTCCCACAGAGTCCAACCCAGATGAGTTTAAGCTCCTGGTTCCGGGACAGAGCTGGGGGTCTGTATTTGTCTCCCTGAGCCCACCCCATCAGGTTTTATGGGAGTTGAGAGCAGGGTTTGGGTTCAGGTTCAGCTCCACAGCCATGACGCTATTCCAGAGCCCACGTTTTAGAGGCTGGATTGGGTTGGTTCCAGGATCCGCTGGTTCCCTGGGGTGACAGTTGAATTGATTTTATTGTTTATTGCTTCAGTGACTTTGGGCACACAGCTGAGGACCTGTGTATCTCAAAGGCAGTGGAAAGATGGCCTTGCCTCCCAGGGTTGTTAGGACTAACTGAGATAAAGGATGTGAAGACACTAGTCAGACACAGCACATAGTAGGCACTCAGTAAGGGCACTTCCCTCCTTCCCTCTGGCACAGGGGAATGAAAATTGAGGTGAGGTCGAGACTGGGTGCACAGGGACCTGGGGAGGGAGCAGGGAGGGGCTCGCTAGCTGGACGGGAAATCATATAATCCTTCTCTGGCTCCAGAACAACCTGGGAGCCAGACCACCGGCCTGGTGGAAAGGCAGCTGCCCCCACCCAGGCCTATCCTCACCCCACAGACTCCCTCCACCGAGCTGGGGCTCCTTCGAGAACATTCCCTCTTCCCAAGCCAGCCTGCGTCAGTGCAGAGAGCTGATGGGGGTGGGGCTTGTAGAAATAAAGACCACCCAAACGAGAACAAACAGCCTGCTTATTCGGAGCTTGCTACAGCAAGGGAGTCAGCCACAGTCATCTGTAATTTGGCAGAGACTCAAAGGCAGAGGAGTGGGAAGATGGTGGTGAGACGGTCCCCGGATGGAGGTGGTGAGGATGGGGAGCCCGAATGCGCTAACTAGAAGGGGACGGGAGTCTTATGCGATTGGTCGGTCCTTAGCTGGAAGTCGGGGTGGGGGCGAAAAGTAGGGAAACTGCTAGTCAGTTGTTTGACCAAATCCTGACTCTCCTGGGCCCATTGCTGCGGAGGTTGTGGCCTGGCATCCAGGGCGGATTGCCGTGGAGGTTGTGGGTGAGAGTTCCATTGCCATATCTGGTTTGGCCAATGTCCGTCTGCACATTCAGCCTCTCAGCGTGCAGAGAGGGAACCCAGCTATGTGATTCGGGGTACATCGCTAACTTCTCTGTGCCTCGGTTTCCTCATCTATGAAATGAGGGCGTTCATCGTACCTGTCTCAGATGTTAATACACGTGAAGAACTTAGAACAGCACCTGGCATGCCACGAGTACCCAATGTGTTAGTAATGATAATAATCACAGTAATTATTATTAAAAAAAATTATGAGGATGATGCTCAGTGGAGAGGGCCCTAGCTGGGAGGAGGGGTCTGGGTTCTGACCCATCGCACTGTGACCTTGGGCAAGTCAGTTGCGCTCTCCGAGCCTCAGGCCTGTCTGTGGAATATGCGGCTGGACCCTCACTTCCAAACTCACTCCAGCTCTAATGTTCTAAATTCTCCACTGGTGCTCAGTGACAGCCTGCGGTCGCCCCCCCAACAGCACCCTCTCTGTCCCCTCCCCCACGCCCACACACAGCCTTCCTCCCTCTAAGCTCCCAGCACACCTGCACCAGGTGCTCCAGCGCGCAGGCTCTCTGCTCTCATTTCAGCCGGTTTCAGGTCCTAAATTTAGCCCTTTCACAGAGCCCAGTTTCTGGTGGGGGCAGGGCTGGGTGAGGGCTCTCTCTGGCAAGGCAGCTTCCCCCTGTCCCCCAGTACGGCACCGTGGGAGGCAAATCAGACAGGAGAGCTGAGCGCCACCCTCTATTTTGTCATTGGCACACTGGGCAAGTCATTCTCCCCTTTGGGGCTCAATTTTCTCATCAAGTAACTGAATTTCTCGTGTGTTGACTCCTTCAAACATCATACCATCTCTTATCTCAGAACAACTTTCTTTTCTTTCAGATGAGGAAAAGGATCAGAGAGGTTAAGAGATTTAGCTAATTTGTTCTTCTCCCAGCAGCCAGAGGGATTTTCTTAAGATGTAAATCAAGTCATGGTGCCCCCAGTGACTGCCCAAGGCTCTGGGAATAAATCTGACCCTGGCGGTGGTCAACGTGTTGCCCCCTGGCTGCGACGTGGCCCTCTGACCTCCTCTGTTCCCACTCTTCCCGGTGGTGAGTGGAACCAAGAGGAACTGGTGTTTCCATGTAATGTCAGAAAGTTGCCAAATCTGTCTCTGCCCTCTCTCCTATTTCTGGGATTTTCTTCTACCTGGCAGGAGGGACCCCCATAGGAAGAGCTCGTTGGGTTCCGCAACTCTGCTCCTGCCACTCCGGCCTTCTCTCTGGTCCTCGACCACACCCAACTCTTTTCGCTCCTCAGGGCCTTTGCATGGGCTGTAACCTCTACCTGGAATGCCCTCTCTCTAGCTCTTCCTGTGGCTGGCTCCTTCCCACAATTTGGGTCTGAGGTGAATGTTGTGCTCATAGAGAGGTCTTCTCTGGCTGCGGTGAAAGATGGCATGAACAAAGCCATATTAAAGTAGGGCCAGAGCGGCTATTTCAGAGGACTTGCCTTGCCTGTCTCGCTTTCTTTATCTTCCAAACTGGACCAAACCACCAACATTCCAAGAAATCAGTAAGGACAAGAATATCTTGTTTGTAAGGACGATGAAATTCAACTTTGCTGATGACCGGTTGCCAACCAATCAATGAAGGCAACCAAGTCTAGCCTTTTGCCTGATGATTGAACCTCAGGCCAGTCTATGAAGCACAAACTAGCCTTCCGTCCTCTAGCACCGATGAACTCTGCCTTAATACATCTCACCTCATCCTCCCTTTTCCCATGAAAACCCTGAGCCCCTCTCCTGTAATCCGGACACTCTTTAGGTTTCTACCTGAATCTGTGCTCCCAAGTTGCAATTCTTTGATCCCAAATAAACGCTTTGCCTCTTAAACTGGTTTCTATTTTTGTAGGTTCACGCAGAAGCTTCCCTTCCAATATTCCCCCTTTTGGCCTTTTGCTTGTTTCCTTCATGGTCCTTACCACGCTGCCCTGATTGGACGTCTTTTAGCGTCTTGTCCGCTGTTTGTCTCCCTGGTGCTTGGCGCAGAGTTAGCGCTCAGTAAAGACTGCTGCGCTGACGTTCACAAGAGCAACAGCACACGGCATGTCGGAACTACACTGAGCGTTAATTCACAACCGTGTTGTGTGGCAGGAGGGACAAGGATTATCCCCATATCTCAGACAGGGAAAGTGAGGCCCCAAAAGGTTGGGACTTGCCCAAGGCCATCCAGACTCTAAGAAGCAGAACTGGTCCAGCGCTCTTTCAAAGCAGAAGAGTGATGCATCCTGGAGGTGGGGTGTGCGGCAGCATCGGGCCGGTCACTGCTCCTAAATTCTCCATCTTTGCCCACCAGTCTTTTACTGGGAAGCCCACTTCCACATCCCTGCCTTCAGAAAGGGACAAGAGAGAAGAGGGGGCAGTCTGGGTTCTCAGGGGAAGGAGCATCACTTCTGCTTTCTTGCAGGGGAAACACTCCTGGAGGCCGTCTTGGCCCCTTTAAATACCATAGAGAGGAGGTGGGGGCGGTGGTGCTGACAGCGGGAGCGGGCTGGGACACTGGATGCTGGGATGCGGGATGGCTGGGACACTGGATGGCTGGCTCTGGGCTGTTCCCTGAGCTTTATGTGTCAGAGCTGGGGTCTTGGGCAGTGTGTGGATCTAAACCCATCTACACACTGCACATCTCTGTGTATGTGTGTGGGGTGTTGCACAGTGAAGTGGCCTGGTCAATTGTGTTCTGGGAGTTGGAGCCCCCCTGAATGTTTTTTTCACTTATGAATTAAGTATTTGAGATGAAGCCAGAAGCCATGCATCTTTTCGTAGTCCTTTAAAACTTTGGGGGAAAAAGTTAAAATTTAGGTTTCTTTTCAATCGTGTCCAGGAAAGTAGAAATAACATTAAGAATGTTGTCTCGATTTTCTGATCATACGAAGGATGCAGAAATGATCATGGCCCTTCTGTTTAAAGGATCTGGCAACGACTTAAAAATCTATAGGATCAAGTCAAGATTGACCACGGCATTCAAGGCCCTTCACACCACGGCTCTCCCTCCTTTTCTAGTCTCCCCCAAACCTCTCACCACTCCCCAAATAGGTTCTTTCCATGGGCTTAACTTTGTTCCCTCAGTCGGTCTGTCCTTCCTCCTAGAACCCCCTACTTGCCCAGTAAGACTCAGTTCAAACATCCTGGCCCTTGTGAAGACGTAATTGATCCCCCACACTTGGTCTCTCCATCTTCTGAGACCTCAGGGCAGTATGTCACTCTTCCCATTATTGTACCTGTCACCGGGCCTTGACACGTGTCTACACGGATGCCCCTCCAAGCAGATGTGGCTCTTCATATTAATACAACCTCCCACAGTGCCTGGCACACAGTAGGTGCTGAGTGCTGGGGATGGTTAAGGGTACCGTGGTTAAGTACCTATGCTCTGAAGGCAGAGACCCTGGCCTGAATCCTACTGCGGCCTCTTCCTCCCCATGCTCCTCTCAGAACCTTGGTGTCTTCATCTGCAAAATGGCGGATCAGCGATGGCGTCCACCTCGCAGGGTGTGGGGAGTGGGCAGGGTGAATCATGCGTGTGGAGCACTCAGCACCATGTCCAGCCTCCTGCGAGTGTCCAGGCAAAGGCAGCTATTACTACACGAGCCTGAGGTCTGGTCACCCACCTCCCAGGAAGGAGTGTGGTCCCCAGATCGACCTCTCCTCTCGAGGTCGCCTCTCCACGGGGCCTCGTTCATACGCCCGGTCTAGACCCTTCCTGCCCTTCCTTCACTCAGTCCACACACACAGGATGTCTCACTCTGATTTTTAATTAAATCACACACAATTGAGGGCATCAGGCCCCACCAACTTCATTCATTTTCATTAGAAACCACTTGGGATTGGGTGTGGGGGGGACTGGAAGGGGGTCGCGATGAGAAGACACGCTCCCGGCCTTTCCCTATAGGACTAAAAACATCAGGAATGACCCCAAGGAGATGCGTGGAACAGAATGCCCAGCAGAAGGGACAGGGCTGTGGAGCCACCCCGAGCCTTCAGAGAAGAACGTAATTGGTAGTTTATCTCCTCCATCAGGATTGGGTGACAACCTCTACCCCGCAGGGGTCAGGATCTGCGAGGACAGCTGAGGCGGAAGGCTCTGTGGCAGGTCCCTCACTCCATCAACCCCCTGGGGGTGAAGCTCCGGGGGAGGCAGATTTGGGAGGGCAGAGGTAGCCCTGGCTGCACTTTCAAGAGGTCGTTACCTGGCCGGGCAGCTGTGCCAGGTGCAGGGACCAAGGGACACGTGGCCCTCAAAGGCTGAGGAGTGAGGCAGGTAAAAGGGGTGCCAGTGATTGGGAGGGGGGCTCATGAACTTGCTTAACCAGTAAAAGACGTGTGGTCCCCATATTCAAAAGCTGGAAATATGGAGTGCAGATAGCAGGAAAAGGGCACTTTCCCACGAGGTATCCCATTCGTGGGGCACTTCCCAGCAGCCCCCCAGGGGTGCCAGCACCAGGCTCAGGCATAGTGATCTTTCGTCCTCTCTCACGGGGCCTGCTGGTCTAGGCACGGGGAAGACGGAACCCTGGTCCATTTCCTGCCTCAGCCCAGCCCACGCTTTCCCCTAAAGGAAGGCTGGTTTTGGGGGCCAAAGCTAGGCTGCCAGAGCCGAGAGGTTCCCCAAACCCCTTCAGTTGGCCTGTGGTGGGTCACACCCCCATCTCCCCTGAGTATAAGTGCAGATGTACTGGCTTCCCCAATACTGTCCCTTAAAGGTGGTGGCCCGTCCCCAACCGCAAAGGTCACATGGAGGTAGAAGGCCCTGGGAGGGGGGCAGGAGGGGTGCAACCCCTCCCCAGCTCCCTGAGAGCTAGTGGTCTTCCAGAGAACCTCACTGGCTATTCCCAGGGGGCTCCCTCCTCCCTAGGGGAGGACACAAACTTAGAAATAGGAAAGGGGGTCGACACAGCTTGGGCAACTTACTGACATCTCTTGAAAACACTGGTTCCATTTCAACCACCAGATTCCGCTCAAGTCCGTAAGCCGTTCCCCGTCCAGGCCACCCTGTCTGGGTCTGGACAGATGCCGTCACGGCTGTTCCGCCCCACCCCGGGCATTCTCCCCGCTGGGCCACCCCAGGGTCCCCGGAGGAACTCACACCCCCACGCCGCTCTTCTCCTCCTCCTTGGGGCTGGGCTCCTCCTGCACCTTCTTCATTTCCCAGCCCCGGACCCACGTGTAGGCGGAGGAGCCCCCCAGCACCATCATGTTGCTCGTCCACCAGAGGAAGCTCTTGGTGTCTTCATAGTAGAGGACGGCCAGCACCGTCTGGGCACAGGCTTTGGCCGTGCCGGACACGTTGTGGGTCAGGGGGCTGGTGAACTTGATCTGCAGTCCCGTCACGTAGCCGATGGCGAAGCCAAACAGGCCGCCCAGCGTCATCATGCCCCAGAAGTGGGCGCTGCCCAGCTGGGAGAAGCTGCGGAGGGTCTGCAGCTCCCCCAGCAGCAGGAGCAGGGGCAGGAAGAGGACGCAGGCGTTGACGTTGTTATAGAAGGTCAGGCGCCAGATGCTGCCGTCCACGGCTGGGAGCACCTTCTTGGTGTAGATGGCGTTGAGTGAGACGCAGAGGCTGGCCAGCACGCCGAAGACGGTGCCCGTCCAGGACAGGGTGCCCTCGGCCCCCTCCTGGTCCACACCGAGCCAGAAGCCGCCTGCAGCGGGGAGAGGCGGGGGATGAGGACAGGAAGGAAGAAGGACAGAGAATTTTGCCACCAACGTCCACAGATGGTGTTCTGCCGCCCTCAGCATCCCATCTTCCCCACCCTCCCTGCAATAAAGATGTCCAAAGTCCCTAACACACGCAAGGCACTGACAAGGGTTGCGGAAGTGGCCCAGGACATGAACCCTTCCTCCTGGAGCTGACTTCTCCCAGAGGAGAAAGACATTAAAGCGACTCAGTTCCCAATTACTGCTTTAATGACAGTTGTAATGACAGGGTGCCATGGAAACCCACAACTGGGTGACTTGCTGGCCTGGGGCCTCTGGAAAGGAACATTGGAAATGAGTTGTGAAGGATGAGTCCTTAGCGGTTAAGGTGACCTTGGGCAAGTGACCTGAGGTCTGGGAGCCCTGGCTCCCTCATCTGTCAAATGGGAACCTACGATGACTTAGAATCCCTGTGGCCTGACTTTTGGGACACTCACTCTCATCTTGTGTCACCTCCTGCTCACACAGCCTCTATGGCTCCCCAGTGCCCACCATCAAGTCTACGCTCCTCGGCCTGTCATCTGGGCTTCCCATACCCTCGTCAGCTCCGTCCCTGTCCCACGATCGCCCCGAGGAGTCGCTCATGTCCCCGCTGCTCATGCCGGGGCTCAGTGTCCTGTTCGTTTCCTGCACCAGAAACACCGTCCTCCCTCCTGGGAGAATCCACTGCTTCTGCACGGTCCAGCCGGCCTCTCCAGGGAGGGAGTCCTTCTTGACACCCTCAGCACCCGGACCTCTTCCTGCCCGCACTTTCCTTCAAGACCTCTGCCTGCCCGGGGCTGCTGGGCACCTGCCCATGGCCACAGTCAGTCCCTTTAGTGACCCCACCTTCCAGAAGGCAGGGGCTGAAGCTTACGCACGTTGGATGCCGGCCACCGCATCCGGCAACTTGAGGGGGTAGGACAAGTTCGGGCGCCAGAGAGATTAGGAATTCATCAGGCTCCGCCATTTAGAGGCTGTGTGGCCTGTGAAAGTTTACCTAACTTCTCTGAGCTCCCATCTGTCAGAACTCCAACCAATCTATTCTCCACCTTGCAACCAGAATATTCTTTCTAAAGTACACATCTGCTCAGGTCCAGTCCTGGCTTCAAGGTCCTCCATGCCTCCTCTCTGCCCTCAGGAAATATTCCAGACTCAACTTGGGCAGCCTCGCATCTGGTGCGTCCCACTCAGGCCCAGCGGTGAAGAAAGGCACATGTAGTTTATTCTGTCCAGAATGTTCTCTCCTCACTCCTTCCTTACACCTGTCTAGCACTTCCTACAGATGACCTGCTTAGATGACTCCCCACCCCTCATCCCTGCCCTGGCCTGGCTTCCCCCGCACCTTCCATGTCCCAATCACAGCTGTTACCTCTCAAGCAGAACTTAGTTACTGTCATTGTCATTACCACGCCCTCCAGGATCCTAGGGGGGGAGTCTATCTTTCCCAAATTTGTAACCCCAAGCTTGGCACGGTCTCTGGCACGTGCTTGGCCATCAATTCCTATTTGTGGGGCAAGTGAATGAATTCATGGAGGTTGCTCTGGAGGTGGCTGTGAGATCAAAGGGGACAGGCCCTCCTACTGGTGGCCTTCCAAGTCCAGAAGGGACGGCCACCTCAAGGTCCCAGACCCCAGAGGGACTCTCAGCCAGAAGGAGCGTTGAAAGGTACTGGGTGACCTCCAGGGCAGGGAGCAGGAGCAGCTGAGACCCATCTTTCCCCCAAGAAGGAAGGAAGGGGAAACCCCGCAGAGAGGGGCCGGGTCCTGGGCTGGCGCAGCGCACCAGCCTCGGGGCCCTGTCCCATCAGGCCGGCCGGTGAAGGCGCCTTCTCGGAAGCTATCTCCGCATCAGCTACTGCGATTACTTAGTCCAGACTCAGCCTAGTTTCCCCAGGGGCTTCACCCTCCTGCATGCAAATTCTCCTACCCAGAAGACCCCCCTCCTGGCAGGGCCAGCAGGACTCGGAACCAGCTCCCCTTGGGGGGCCAGGGGAGCAGCTGAGAGGGATGTGCCAGGGTCTTAGCTCCTCCCGCTCTGACCTCCACCCTCCTCCCCTGGCCCAGGAGGACCCAGATTGAGCAGCCCGAGATCCAGGAGATGCTCAATGAGAGGAACATTTTCTAGGACAGGTGGCACGGGCGGCGCCCCTCCCCAGCGACCGGTACTGCTCGGTCTGGGACTCTGAGGCACCAACGAAGGCTATGTGGGTCAACCGCGGTGAACTCACAGCGCGAGGAAAAACCCGAACAGGTTCAAAGGCACGTCACCTCCCTGATGACCCAGAGCCCCAGGGGACTCTGAGAGAGCAGGATGCTGGGGGCGCTGTCACCCGGCTGAAACAGTTTGCCATGAGGGGAATGTTCTCTAATCTGTGTTGCCCAGTACAGCAGCTCTGGCCATGTGTGCCTCCCGAGCACTTCCAATGTGGCTACAGAACCAGCTTACAACACCTGCAACTGAGGAGCTGAATTTAAAAAATTTCATTGAATTTGAATGAATTTAAACTAGGTTAGAAGCATAGGCCGGGGAGTCTGGCCAATCTGGGTTTGCAACCCAGGCTGGCTACTTCCTAGCTGTGTGGCCCTGGGCAAGTAACTTAATGTCTCTGAGCCTCAGTTTGCTTGTTTGTATGGCATCGATTACAGGTGATGCTACCACCCAGGGGACCTCTAGGGAGCAAAGGAGATGCTTTATGTGAATGATTGGCACAATGTCCCCATCAACAATTCTTATTTTCTGAGAGGCAAGTCTGGGAAGACAGCTAAGAGCTCTCAAAGCTGATCTCTTACACTGTCTCAGGCATTATCCTGAGCCTGCTGGGTCAGACGGTGATGGTATATATTAAAAGATGACGTATGCGCTACAAAGAGCACTGGATGAGGAGTTAGAACGTTTGAGCTCTTGAGAAGTAAGAGAGTATGGTGGTCAAGCGTCTGGGGCCAGATTGCTTGAGATCACATCCCAGCTCTGCCACTTATTAGCTGTGTGATCTTTGACAAATTACTTAACCTCTCTGTGCCTTGCCTTTCCCTCTGTGAAATGTAGATTATAATCCCCTCTTGTTATGAAAGGCCCTGGCTGGGCCCTTAACTTGCTGGGTGACCTCAAGAAAGTTACTTGCTCTCTCTGGGCCCCAGGCTCTTCCTCATATGAGTATCGCAACAAGGGAAGAGGGACAGATTAAGTCCAAAGATGCTTGGCAGGGTTGATCTTTAGGGTTTCGGGCCCCCTGTGCCCCCCATTCCCCGTGGCCCCGGCTGGCCACTCACCGATGATGATGCCGCAGGCGAGCAGAGCGTAGAAGGACGTGGTCTGCTTGAGAAGCAGGTAGGAGAGCAGGACGTTGAAGACGGTGGTGAGCGAGCGGCCCACGTTGTAGAAGGCGACGCCGACGTACTTGAGGCAGAGGTTGTTGAAGGTGATCATGCCGATGAACACCACCGACAGGGGCAGGATGCTGCGGGCGACCCTGAGGTCCAGGCGCAGGCTGGGGAAGTCCACGGCGCCAGGGCAGCAGGCAGCCAGGGCGCTGAGGCCCTTGCACAGCAGCGTGGTCACCAGGCACTGGTAGAAGGTGACAAAGATGGGGGTGTCCAGGCGCAGGGAGGGGCTGTTCAGCAGGTACTTGTTGAGGAACACCATGGAGATGGACGTGACCCAGTAGAGAGAGACCACCAGCGCTATCTGGACCGCCCGCAGCAGAAAGGGCTTCTCCTCGCTGGCCTCCGCCTCCACGGTGGGGTCGGAAGCCCCCATCAGTGCCATGTGCAGGATCCTGGACCGCTTCAGAGGGGCCCTGTTCATGGTAGCAGAGGAGCTGGGTCACTCCACAGCCACCACCGATTTCCTGGAGCCCAGAACCACGTCTCCTTTGTGCAAGCCACAGCCCTCAACTGTCACGCGGGGGGTGGCCTAGGGGCCTCCCCACCGCCCTCTGGGACGGAGACGTTCTGCTTTGGGGTGAGCCCCAGCACCTGCGCCCAGCCTGAGGGGGCTCATGAGACAAGACACAAGGAAGGGGAGACGGACAGGCTAAGGGTGCACAGGGACGACCTGTCATGGAGCAGGGGCTGGGGCCTAGTCGGGAAGGGTCTCAGGGCGAAGGGAGGGGAGAGGAATGGAAGGGGAAGCGGGGAGCGGAGGCGTGCAGGACGACGGGGCTAGGAGGGGGCGGAGGAGAGCGCGGGGACGGTGTGCAGAGGGCGGCGCGGCGGCTCCGGAGGGAGCGGTTTGCACGGAGAGGGGGGAGGCATGCAGGGAGCTGAACGGAGGGAGGGCGTGCGGGGGGTTTGCAGAGGGGTGCAGGGGAGATCAGAGGTGCTTGGGATCGGGGTCCGAAGGACGCGGGCGGAGGCCGGGCGGGCACAGGCCCTCGGCGAGCCGCCCTCTGGAGCGGCGGCTGCGGCTCAGCCCAGCGCCTCCGGACATCCGAGGCCGCTCCCCCGGGCGAGGCGGGCCCAGGGCTCATTTCCTGACACGCCCCGGCCCCCTCCTTAAAGAGCCCGCTCGCCCGGCCTCATCCTTAAAGCCACAGCCCGCCAGAAACGGCCCTCGGAGGCGCGCTCCCCGCGCGCGGATGGTGGGGAGCTCTCGGCCGCAGCGGAAGGGTTCTGTGGGTGCTTGAGCCTCGGCCTCCCCCCCCCCGCCCCGCCAGCTCCATCCCTCGGACTCCGCGCATCTGCAGGTCCCCTCTGCTCCCCCATCCTCCGGCCGGACCGCGCCCCCAGGATCTTGGCACCGCCCCGCGTCCCTCGGCGTCTAGAGACCCCTCCTGCCAGCCCTGCGGCCCTCTCCCTAGCTTCAGCTCACTCCCAAAGCCTTGCTGCCGTTTTCCCACCGCCCCCAGCCCTCTCCCAAGCCTGAGACCCCCAGCAGCGCTCCCAGAGGCCGGAGGCCATACCGCCTCTTCCAGACCTCCGTCTGTCAGCCGGGTCCCCCCATTCGAGACCCTCCCCGCGGCCGGATCCGAGGCTCAATGCAGCACCCCCTCCCGCTTCTAGAAAACTCCCTACCCAAGTCAGGCTAGCCGCGAGCTCCGGTCTCGGGGCTGGCGTTCCCGGGCTGCGAAGGCGACCCCACGCTCACCTCCTGCTCCGCACTGGCCGCCCGCCCGCGCCACCGAGCGCCGCACTTGCAGCGCCGCGCCCAGGACCGCGCCCGCGGGACACGACTTCCTGCTCCCGGCCCCGGGCGCCGGCCCCGTGCCAGCCTCGCCGCCCGCGCCCCATGTGGGGCCCGGGGCGGCGGCGGGGCGACCGGGTCCCAGGCTGACCTCAGCCCCGGGTTACCCTGCCGGCCTGGGGAGCAGGCCCCCTCCTCTTTCCAAGCCGCCCCAGCCCCCGGTACCCCGCCCGTCCGCCCATAACCCCCCCCGCCCCCGCCCCCCCCCCCGCCCGCTCCGCTCGGGTTACCGCCGCTTGCACGTCCCGGGGCCCGGCTGCATCCCTGGCCGGTAGCGCCCCGGCCTGCGCTTCCCGGAGCGCGTGCGGGCAACAGCCCGGATTCTTCCTGCCGCCAGAGTGGAGGGTCCCCCGCCCCTCCCAGGGAGCGGGCCTGGGAAGTCGGTCACCAGCCGTGGCCGGTCACTCACCAGGCCCCCAGGAGGGTCGACTTCTCCCTGGTTCCCGCTCTGGCGCCAACGTTGGGCGGCTCACGTCTCCTGAGTTCTCTTCACTGTAAAACTGGGGGGCTGGACTAGACCGGTGGGTCTTAACTTCCTTGCACAAAACTCTAGCTGGTATGGTCGAAAGTAGGGACGACCGTCTGTTTGTAAGATTTCGGACACCATTTAATTAGTACCATTTAATTTATGTGTAAGATGGCTGAGTTTTGTTTTGTTTTGTTTTTTGAGGAAGATCAGCCCTGAGCTAACATCTGCTGGCAATCCTCCGCTTTTTTGCTGAGGAAGACTGGCCCTGAGCTAACATCCGTGCCCATCTTCCTCTACTTTATACGTGGGATGCCTGCCACAGCATGGCTTGCCCAGCGGTGCCATGTCTGCCCCCAGGATCCCAACCTGTGAACCCCAGGCCTCTGAAGTGGATGTGTGCACTTAACCGCTGCGTCACCAGCCGGCCCCAGATGTCTGAGATTTGCTTTAAAATGCTCAGAACACTCACCAAAAAGAAAAGAAAAGGTCGATAGATAGATAAAACAAGAAAGGCAAAATGTTGATAATCGCTGAAGCTGGGCATAGGTACGTGGGGTGTTAGGGGTCCTCTTACTTTTGTGTACGTTTGAAAATTCCCATAATAAAAAGAGAAAACCTATGGAGTCTACTTAAAGTGTCACTCTAAGTGCGAAGACCCTGCCCCAGGGTCACACAGCCCTTGGTGGGTTACCCGGAAATGGACGAGTAACAGGAAGATAGATACACACTGTCCGGCAGCCCCCCGAAGGCACCAACTCCCCCGTGAGCTCTGCCCCAGGTCCTGTCCCCTTCCATCGGCCCTCTGGTCCTTGCTCTGTGATACCTACACCCCTCTTACTCCAGGGATGGGACTTCCTGCTTCCTAGTTATGGGCTGGTCTTCAGGTGGAAGATGCTATCTGGTCACCTTGTCACCTTTGGAATCAAATTATCCCTTTGGGGAAGCAAAGACTTCAAGGGACTGAGCTGGTCACCTGGATCCTACTTGGAGAATCCCCTTCCAGGGCCAAACGTCAAAGGTTGTGGGTTTCAGTTTATTAAGAGCAATGCCAGCCCACCAGAGTCTCTTCTCTCTTAAGGCTGGTATTTCACCATGACCAATATTTGATGACAAACAGGGCAAACTTGTCTCTGAGAGGCCCTGGTTTCCTGGAAGCACCCTTCCTCTTGGCACCTTAGCAAAAGTTGATTGATCTGATGAATGTGCTGCCACCTTGAGCCCCGAGGGAAGTGATATACACTGTCTATAGGCCGGGCACACTTCCCTGGGAGAGGCTGGGGGCACGCTGAGCTGGAAGTGGGGGCCACAGTCTGGGCTGTCTACGGGCCGGGGGACCCAAGTATCCCTGTCTCCGGTCTCTCCCCTTACAAGCTCCCTGAAATTCCACCAGGAGCGTCACTCCCTTGCATTACGGTTGTAATAGGCCAGTTTAGCAGGTTTTCCGGATTCTAATAGTTTTTGTTCCTTATGAAGGAAAGGGGAGGCGGGGATGTCTCTTATGGGTCAAAGGCCTCAGGAGTTATGCAATTGGCACAAACTGTTTGCTTTGGAATTTTTCTTAAGGAATGTGAATTGTTTAAGCCATCTGTAAAGGGTGGAGTTTTAGGTCTTGTCAGGAGTAATTACCCAGCGTGTGAACTCGGTGTGAGGCAGAACATAAAGTCATCGCTGTTACAGCTGGAAGGCTGTAGTAAGCCAGGGAGTAGGGCCCTTCTTGGGTGTGATTCTTGCCTTGAGCAGGAGCCACTAATGATGTCAGAAGAAGACCATTTCTGCCAGGCGGGGTGGACAGAACAACCTCCCAGGTGCAGGGGACAGTGGATCTGTACCAGTCGGGCCTCAGAGCTCCTGGGAGCACACAGATGTCGACTATCTCACTCCTGAGCTCAAGAGGGACTCATAAGCTTACTCTATGTGCTGGACATTACTAATTATCTACCCAAAGTCCAAAATAATTGGATGCCCAGCCAGAGACCACATTTCCCAGTCTCCCTGTGGGGAGGTGAACTATGTGTCACAGTGGATGGAGAAGGGACTTGATATGTCCAGGCCTTCAAACTTGAGGTGGGTGCTCTGCATGCTCTCTCCTCCTCTTCCCGCAAGCTGGGACCCAAATGCATCTGTACCCCAACGGTGACCATGCAGATGAGGTCCGTGTCTTAGGGGTTGTGGGAACAACATGATGGAAAGAACCAGGGTCTCTGAGGATGTGGAGCAGAGGCACTTGCCCATGTGGACTGCCTACCTTGAGACTGTATGTGAGAGGGAAATCAACTTATGCTCTTTGTGGATCTGTGCAGTTGTAAAGGGGTCTCTTTGTTACAGCAGTGAGGCTGTACCCACATACCCGCTGTAGGCTACATTCCCTTCTCCTCATATACACATTCTCTAGGCAAAGTGGAGAAAGCATCGCATTGTTAGTCTGATCCCTCCGTCTCTCTTGCTTTTTCTTTCTCAGTTTATCATCTATCTATCTATCTATCTATCTATGTATCTATCTGTCTATCCATCTATCCATCCATCCAACCATCCATCCATCCATCTATCTATCCACCCAACCATCCATCCTTCCACCCAACCATGCATCCATCCATCCATCCATCCATCCAACCATCCAACCATCCATCCATCCATCCATCCAACCATCCATCCATCCATCCATCCATCCATCCATCCATCTATCCATCCAACCATCCCATCCTTATCCAGGACCTATCACAAATCCTGGCACAGTAGATGCTCAGTACCTATTTGTGGAATGAACAGAAGTCAGTTCCTGAAGGAAGGAGTACCTGAAAATCAAGACTAATTTATGAACTTTTTTGGCCCTAAGCCCTGAAAACTTTATAAGGCTCCTCATTCACCCCATATGTAATTCAAAATAAAAATTTATACTGAACTGTAAGATAAATGTAAGCAGAGCGAAAAATGTTCTGATTTTTCTTGTGAGGATTGCAATGTTCATTTGAGAATAATATATTCTTTCCAGAAGAAAAAATTGACGTCTTTCCTTGGCTGGTACTTGTGAGAGACACCACTAGTTGTCTACCACAGGGGTTGGCAAACCTTCTCTGTAAAGGATCAGAGTTGGTATTTTAGACCATGGGCCATACGATCTCTGTTGCAATTACTCAATGCTTCTCTTGTAGTGTTATAAGCAGAGGAGGGCAGCTGTGTTTCAATAAAACTTTATAAATAGGAAATCTTTGAGAGGGAATGCATAACCCTACAGCTCCTGTAATATGCACTGAGTCATCTCCGAGCGGGAATGGTGTCTCCCCAGATTGGCAGCTGACCCGTGGACAGTGAGTAACAGTGTCAGCCCCTCTTGGTGGAGGGTGTTTTACTAACAGCCGACACTTGTTGGAGGGGGGGCTCCATGCCATGTGTTTCATACACAGCGTGGCGGTCCTTTCAACGACGCTGTGAGGGGCAGTCTCTCTTCATAATCCCTATTTTACAGATGAGGAAACTGAGACCCCAGAGATGTTGTGTCACGAGCCCAAGGCTGTCCAATGGAGGGATGAGAGCTGGATTTGAGCCCGGGTAGGCTGACTTACTCACTTAATTATTAATATTATGCTGCCTCTCCTTGTGTGTATGGCACTTCGCAGTTTACAAAGCATTGAAAAGAAAAGTTCTCAGAACCTCACAGCTTCAAAGTACCTTAGAGGTTGTCTACCCAAACCCCTCACATGGCAGAGAAGGAAACAGGTTCAGAGACGGGGAGTGACGTGTTCAGGGTCACATAGTTTATGAAAGGGAGAGACAGGACCAGAAGTCTGCTCTCTGGACTCCAAGCTCCCTCCCTGAACCGTGAGCTCCGTGAGCACAGGGGCTGTGCCATAGGCATCTTTGGGCCTTCACCACCTAGTGTGGCGCCTTGCACACAGTAGGTGCTCAGGGAACAGGCATTAAATGAACGTGAGTCTGGTGCTGGTGTTATTATTAGACATACCAATTCATTCCAGCATGACTTTCGTACCCCTTATGGCATGGCGCACGATGCTTGGCGCATACTAGGTATACAGCGTTGAATAATGTCCTCCCCCAAATTCATCCTCAGAACCTTGGAATGTGTCCTTTTTGGAAATACGGTATTTGCAGGTGTAATAGTTAAGTTAAAATGAGTTTATACTGGATTAAAGGGGACCCTAAACCCTATGACTGGTGTCCTTATAAGGAGAGAGATTTGGTGACAAAGGTGACACACAGGGAAGAAGGCCGTGTGAAGTGGTGGCGGAGATGGGAAAGATGCAGCTACAAGTCAAGAAACTCCAAGGATTGCCGGAAAGCACCAGAAGCTAGGAGGGCAGCATGGGACAGACTCTCTGTCAGAGCCTCCAGGAGGAATCAACCCGTGACACCTTGATTTTGGACTTCTGGCCCCCTGAACTGTGAGACAGTAAATTTTTGTTGTTTTGAGTTACCAAGTTTGTGGTAATTTGTCACGACAGCTCTAGGAAATTAATAGATTAGGTTTGTGGAAAGTGAAACCAAAAACTGTTGCTTGACTGATAAATCCCAGGGGGACCATGATAGCAACAGCTTTGTCTCAGTCCTTCCTGGGGGTGAGGGGAGGGAAGATTCCGGCAGCTTATTTAA